GACAAGATCCATGTCCCAGGAGCTAAGAAACAAAGGGGATAGGAGTGACAGAATGACAGCTAGTCTCGGGTGGGACCTGAGTTGGAAAGGTCCTCTGCGGCTGCTGAAGAAATCCAGTGCACGTGGAAGCAAGTACTAGCTGAGTCCTGGGGCCTCCGTTAGAGGTCCCACAACATGATAGCCGTGTTCGCGACCTCCACCTGCACTGCTGCCCCCTGTGCAGCCTTGTGCCTCAGCTCCCTCCTCTGTAGAATGGAGATGACGAGAGGCCTACCTCCTAGGGTTTTCATAAAGAGTAAACGAGTTCATATAGGTGAAGCACCAATAAGGGTGTTTGGTACATAGGAAGTGCTCCGTAATAGCGATTATCATTAGGAGCAGTACGGCGGTGCTGTTGGGGCTGGTAGCAGCAGCAGTAATGACCGTGGCGACGACCTTCCCCGGAGGAGAGGCTCCCCTGGGGGCCTGGGACACAGGGAATGGCTGTCTAAGGCAGTGCACTCTGTCTTTCTTTGTGATGTGACTTTCTTTAAAATACAAACTCCTGGAATTCTGTATGTTTAAAGAATTAGATGTTTATAGTCTATGTTTAAAGAATTTTATATGTTTTAACCATATTAATTTTTTATATGTGCTAGGTTAAGAATACTCAGATTACAAGTATAGACGACTATAAAATATGAAAATAAGACTTTCTCCACAGCATTCTAGTCTCATCCTCCAGGGGTAAATACCCCTATTTATTTGTTTTTGGTCTTTCTGGTGGTTTCTTTCACAACTTTATGTACAGTCTGTGTGTTGGTCCATTCAGTGATTCACCAACTTCAGATGGTGCTAGAAGATTAATTTTTAATATTAATTTTACCAGCAAGATGTTCTTGTCAGGCCTTTGGCATTGACAAGCTGATAATTTTGTGAAGTTACTTAATCTCTCTCTGTTTCTTTCTCTGTGTCTATGCACTAAGGAATTGAATGGGGTAGTGTCCAAAGCCACTTTCTTAGAAGTGTTAGAGAGCATTGAAACTAACTCAAAGAAAAAACTAACGGGGGGCAGGGGTGAGGGCACAGAGCAACTCTCCTGTGTGTGGAATTCGAGATAAACCTGGTCTGAGGGTCGGATCCAGATCAGGTGCTAAGACAGCATTTCAATGTAACTACGTCCCTTCTTGCCTGTCATCTCTCCACGGGGTCTCAGTGTTCATGTGTGGGTTTCCTTCCTATAGAGGCTTCCTTCCATGACAGCAACTCGGGACATGTGTCCTTGTAGTCAGCAGTCAGAGGACAGAGACACATTTCCCCGCCACCTTTAGTCCATCTTTAGTATAAAAGGCCCCAACTGGACCATCCACAGGGTGCGCGAAAGTAGGTTTGCAGTGAGCACACGAAACACGGAGCGAAGAAAGCTATTGTAATCATAACCTGCATGTCTTTTTCCACGCGAAGAACTCCAAACCTGCTTTTTCCCCACTCTGTATTTACCCTTGCGTGATGTGCTGAAGCCAAACGATGATCAGTTAGTCCTGGGTCTCATGCTCACCCTGTGACCAAGGGTTGGGGAACTGTGGTTGGCGAACACATGAGGAATAGGGTGGAAGCAGATCTTAAAGAAAGGCAGGAAGCACAGACAGTAACAACAGACACCTCCTCTTGGAGTTTCAGGCAACTGTGATTTTAAGAAGGAACTCATTCAGCTCCCTACTGACTACTGAGTCATTACTTGCTCTTGTGAATGCTGACTTCCATGTCACCAACCACTGCCCTCCTTCTCCTGCCAGAAATAAAGGCTGACCTCCGCCTACACATTCTTTAACTTCCTATCAGCAATTAGGGACTCTTGGCAGTATTTTCGCAACAACTTGAACAAGGAGTCCAGACATCAGTGTGAAGTCCCAGTCAGACATCAATGCCTCAGATTCCGGCCCCGGCACAGACATTCAATGCGGCCTCGTTAGTAAGACTCTGCTGGGTCTTTACGACCTGCCACACAATGCACACACAAGGGAACCATTTCCTCCCTCTGTACAGGGACCCACTCTGTTATCTCAGGATACAGCCTATGCTTTGGGGGGAAAGTGGCTCAGAGCATTGCAGTGATGGGAAGAACGGCCTCTAGGAAGGCAAAGAATTGCCTGGAGATGACTCAAGTTCTCACCAAGTACTGAAAATATCCCCGAGGCACTTTCCCTCAAGGTAAACATAAACTTGGGGCATTTTTGACTGATAACCAAATAAAAGGGAAAATGGGCAATGGTACAGGGGAGGCTGCCTGGAACTCGGAGCGCCAGGCGGGCGCCAAATTAGGAACTGAGCTACCGGGTTCACAGACACTCTCACTTGGGGGATTTGAGGTTCATATTTTGGATACTGAAAGGCCAGCAATGTAAGTGCCGTCGTTATTCTATAAGAGCTCTGATTGTTTCCCTTTCCCATACTCCACACAAAAATATGCCTGGCCATCTCTTTGCAGGTGCTTACTGACAACTGTGTGCACTGTGGGGTCACCAGGACACAGAGCATGAGCCTGGCTCCGGGAGATCTGGCCATGGGGGTGACAACATCACTGCCACCCCGGCAGTACCAGCCTTGTGGACTGGAGCAGTTTGGAGGGGAAAGGGATCTCTAGATGTTATTAGGAAGGGCTTCAAGAAGAGAGACATGGCAAGGGGCACAAAACGATCTGACACCTCAGTGGATGGAGAGAAATTGGTGGGGGCGGGCCTTCCAAAAGGGGGCAGTACCTGAAAAAAGGCCAAGAGGAAGGAAAACCCAGAGTGAGCCAGGAGACTAATTCGGAAGAATGGAGAAGTGGAGCTTGAGTAGTAGCTGGAGATAAGAATGTTGGGGCTGCCTTGGGCCAAGTATAAGGAATCTTCAAATATCAGGCCTCATTGGGGGAGAAATTAGACTGGGGTGAGGGTGACTCTGTTTTACACATGCTAAGTTTGAAGTGGAGTAGCATGTTTACGTCACATGGAAATAGGGAACAGAATTGGAATTCAAGGCTAAGTCTGGGTTTAGAGACAGATTAGAGAGTGAGGGTGATGCTGTTGTCTCCTCCTACTTGGGGAAGGTAAAGACAGTTCAGATCTTGATGGCATGTCTATAGTTAGATAGCTGGCGGTGAGGGGCACGGTGCACCGTGTCCATGGAAGGGAGAAGAGTGCGGGGCTTGGAGAAGAGGGGGTGGGAGCTCCTACTGCCAGAGGCGGCCGGGGTCGTCAGGATGAGAACAAAAAAAAGACTGACTGCTGGTTTGCAGGCCTTGGGCACAACTTAATGCTACCTTTCTACCAAAAACAATACCTTAAATTAGCTTTCAGAAGGTTTATAGAGTCAAGCCAAAAAACAAAAAAGTTAGGGGGAAAGAGAGGAAAGGTTTGCTAACAGAACAGTGGCAACTGAGCCACTGAAGTAGTTCACATGGTTCTTTAAGGGAGAACACTGTAACAGAACCACATCCAGCCCCCTTTTCATAGGGGCTATTTTGAGACACACAAACCCAAAAGCTGTTTTTCTTAACTTTTAGACAGAATTTATCTAGAAGTATATCTGTCTTAAGAAAAAATAATGCAACTAATGTTAACCGCTTAAGTAATGATTATTCATAGTATAAAAAGTGTTCTCTCGTCCACCAAAAGGGATCCTTTTTATGAGAATTACTGTGAAATTATTTTAGTTTGCCTCTCTAATGCCTTTAAAAATGATATACTCATTTTTCAAAAACAGTTGAAACAGATGCAAAACCAGCATACGTGTAAAGTCAGTATATGTGTACGAATACACACCGTACTTGGACTTGGCTGGTTGTTTACAGGTTCCTTTAAAGTTAGCTTCTTGATAATGTTTCAATGTTACTGAGCTAAAGAGTAAGGATCATAAAGATCTGAAAGTTTCTTAGGACTTTACAGATATTACATTATTTTAAGTGGAGAAACCGGGCTCCAGAGAGCATAAAAGAATTATCCAAAGGCAGAAAGAGCTAGTGGCCAAACTGGAGTTGGACCATTAGAACATTTCTCCAGCTTGGTTGACTCTGTGTCCTTACTTGTAAATCACCTGTATGATTGTGGCTTTATCTGTACAAGATATCTGCACTGCATTTGGATAATAAATGCAGCTGCTGACCCTGAGGTGGGCCAGCTAGCTCTGGACTTTATAGAAATCTGGGGGTTTGAAAAAATTCAACAATATTTATCGAGCATCTTACAGGAGAACAAAGGGGGAGATGTTGAACACAAAATGTTTGAAAAGGGTAAAGAAAGGAGGGAATTGCTGGGGTTTTTTTTCCGTAAAATAAAGCCATTGGGTGAGTAGGTGATGGTTGTTTCTTTTTGAAAAGATGTGATGCTTTGTCCTCAGTAATAATTCATTCTTACAAAAACAGACCACACAGCCCTGTTTGGGAGCTACTCAGTTCAGCAAACATGAACCAGGATGGAAATGATAAGGAGAGATGCGACCGTTCTCTCAGTAACATGTAAATTTGAGGGAACGTTAACCAAATGAAGCCCTAAAGTTTGCCAAATTCTCAATCCATTGTAAGGCTGAAAGTTGAGTGTTTGTCCATCTCGAAAATCTCGGAGAAACTGTGTGCATAAGTCCTGAAGTTTCTCAACACCCATCTCCCAGGCGGCTTTTCTTTGGTGTTTTAGCTAGAAATGAGATCACTGATTTTGCCTCAAGCACTGACAGAAAAGGTCAGAGAGCAGATTTTCTTTTAAAATGTACTTTGTTTATGTTAAGAATTAATACCAAACATTTTCAATTGGCAATAGACCATATTAATTCCTTTTCCTGTCCATTATATCAGCAGAGTCTTTATAAGAATCAGCCGCTAATATCTCCCTGCGGTTTTCACTGGCCTGTGTGGCAATCGAAATGAAAGTTATTTAAGGCATCTAACTGTGATGTGGAGTTGATGCTTTTAGAACCTGACCTCACATTCCTCCTCACCCCACCCCCATCCCCCCGCCCCCGCCCCGGAAAAGGCAAAGGCTGAATGTCACTGGGCTTCACCAGGCTTATCAAGACTGTAAACACCATCAAAGCCTACCCCTTATCACAGCCAATTTGTGTTGAGATACACATCCTTTTCTTCTGGTGGGGCTGTGAGTGCTTCGGACCACGTGCTGCAGCCTTCGGGAAGCCAGGTGACTGCTTAGCCTGGAGGAGCTGGCTCTGTGCACACACCTCCGAAAGGAGAGCCCTGTGCATCTGGGAAGTCGGCTGTGGGGTTCAAGTTGTAACGCACTTGTGCTGGTGTTGACCTTTATCAGAACACCACATCCCAACCTCTCAGTCCTTAGTCCTTGGGCCACATGAGAGACACAGCCATCCTTTGATATTCCGGAGACTTTCCAAGGAGAATTCTGAGTCAGTCAGCAGCGGCGCCCTCTGTTTCTCACGGGGCGTGTGATGACTTGTAATAGAGGTCGGCTTTATGTACAGGACATAAAGAACTACTGTTTTTCCGCAGGAGAGCCCAGTGCAGTTCCTTCTCTAAGTGGAAAAGATGAGTCTTCCTTCTGAAAGAGACTCAAGGTGTGGGCTCATTTCATGCAGGTCGCTTCTTCCTTGACCCCCCCCCCCATGTAATTAATTGCATTCAGTCCTGGCTCTGCCTAGAGTCAGCATGACTTACAAAAGGCTTAGAATGAATTCAAGATCAAAGAAGTGGTCTTTTATAAAGAAACCTATGTCGTTTTGCAATACACGTTAACCACACATTTCCAAAGTGGTCCATTTTAATTGGATTTGTACATTCTTATGTTTATGATACTTTGTAGAAAATCCCAGTCTACCACTACCCTCTCCCACCCTTATAGGGAATGTATTTAAATTCAGTTATTTTTGTACTACAACCTCCCATAAACCCAATGTAATATGCTTTCATTTGGCTCATGCTAACCTATTTTTATTGTGTAAATGACTTCTCAAGGTCATGACTTATATAGCTTTTACTGAGGGGCAATGATAATGTAGTTCTGAACCAAGCAAGTTCTTAGATGCTGACCCTCACCGAGTGGACCCGGATTCTCTGACATGAAGACATACACGAGTCTTCCTCGAGTAAGAAATGAGCAACGGAAGAAAAACTAGACAACTGAAGTACGAATGTAATAAAGTCAGAGATGGAACTTTAGTGAGTACACCCAGAACTGAAACCCTTGTAGGAGTTTCATATTCTCCCTTTTATAAGTTCTCAGAATTAATATTTTGAGCTCTCTCATACATAAGATCCTGAGCTAATCCCAGCCAGAGGAGAATGTGTTGTGGGAACACACAGTTTATTGATTTACATGATGACCATCATTTGAAACGTCCTCGAATCCCCCCAGTCCATACGGGCTTCCTGGTACAGGCCTGCCCTGCTGACTGTGTCTGAGGAACCAGCAGGGTATAGAAATCGCAGCCAGAAATCAGCATCGGTGTCGCCACTGACAGTGATGGATGTGTCCGCCATATCCAGTGTGGGGTTGGGTGTTGCGGCTGCTTGCCATGTGGTGTCCTGAGGATGCTGGCACGTCCCGGTCCCTGCCTTCAAAGTGCCGTGAGCAGCAGGACCAGGGGAGCCCCTGCTTCAGAGGGTGCAGTGTTGCAGCATGCAGTGGCTTCTGCATGACACAATAAAGAAGGTTAGAAAATATAGAGAGCAATGGCATATTTACTCTGAAAGCAGAAATGTTTTCCAGCTCCATGATCCCAAGAGTTTCTCCAGACAGTTATAAATATTCCATCTCTATTTGTACAAGCAGGGGAAAAATTACTCCTTGCCATGCAGACATTGCTCCAGAGAGACACGCTGGGAATTACCCATTTACAGAAAAGTTGTTTTCCAGAAGTTTACTTTCACATCCTTTATTTTGAGCTGGGCTGGCGTTCCCCAGAGAAAATGTGATATGCAGTAACAATGACTAACAGTCTAATAAGACCTTTTTTCTTTACTGAGCGCTTCGGAGAGAATGATGTAGCTGAGGTTTTGGAGCCAACCAGCCACCCTTCACCTCTGATTTCTGCCCTTAGGCAGGTTACTTGACCTCACTAATCTAAGAGGAATTTAGAAAATGGGGATAATACCACCCCACCCCCACCCGGGGGTTGTGCATGCGTCAGTCCAGTGGCAGGAAGATGATAAGTGCTGTCCCTCATCTGCCGCCCCCACTACAGCTGTGTGGGCGGGAGGGTGAGGAGCAGCAGCTGAGACTGGCTGTCTTAGCTGGTCTGGCCACTCACCCATCACCTCCACTTCCCCGTGTCCCCGTGTGCCACTGCTGTTGTCCTTGCCAGCTACTTGCAGGGAGACAGATGAAGAGGAAGATCCCCTGAAGTAAGTAGAATATCATGTCTATTTTCTGAAATCTCTGTTTTGTAGAGTAACCAGAATGGACGGCTTGTTCTCTGCGGCCATGGAACATTTGTTGAGTTCAACTCCGCACCAGGCACTGTGCTTATTGACCCCTCACAACCCCCCAGGGTTAGGAGCCGGCGGAGTCGTGGTCCAAGCCGGTACCATCCACCTGCGAGTCTCGCCTCTTCCTCCTGGACCACACGGCTGCTCGCCTTCCCCTGCTTTCGTCTAGTGGCAGGAGAGATCAATGAGCTGGAGAGTAAATCAGGTTCAACCCGAATCCTGGCCTCATCTGACTGTCTGTAACACTGTTCTCATTCAAAGCTGCACCCAATCCACTGTGGGGCGGCAGGGGGAGGCGGAGGTCTCGATTTTCTGTGAGGTAGGAGGAGAATCCACTGAGTGAGTATTTACATACTCCTGTCCTGAGCTGCCAAGATCTCACCTTAAAAAGAATCAAGTTCAAGTCAGAGATTCTTAAATACATTCTTAAATATGTAAATACTTCAAACCTTCACTGATGATTCAGACCCTACAGGGCCTGGTTGCTATGGCTGCAGGGAGGCAGGCAAGTTAAATCCTGGAAAGATGGGACAGATGACCACAGGTTTTTTAATCAATCATTCTGAAGGCCGGGGCTCTTTTGTACTTCTTTTTAATTTTCTTTCCAATTACAGTTTCCTTGTAATATTACATTATTTATTTCAGGTGTACAGCATTGTGGTTAGACATTTATATACCAGCAACGTACAAAGTGCCCCTCCCAGTAAGTCTAGTACTAGGTCAGGGTTCTTTTATGTTGACATGTCTGGTGTAGGGAAAGGAGCCAGGGACGGACTGGTCTAACCTTGCTTAGACAGGTAACTTGCTAGTGACTTAAAATTCCTTTCCCATTTGTAAACAGACCGTGACAGGTGCATGACCAAAAAAAATAATAAATCTAGACACCGCATTTCCTTAAGTACTGAAAGCCCTAGAACTGAAGGAGGGCCAAGCGTGGGGACTTCCTTAGCCCTCTGAATTACGGGCGTGGTGGGACAGGGGAAAAGGCCGGGCAGGGTTTGGTGGAATAGGTGTGCAAAACCGAAGACTTTGTGCTACTCAAAGTGTTGCAGGTGCGAGTAGGCCGTCTAGCACTCTTACCCCAAATTTTCAACCTTCACACAGTATGTCCAAGAGGTTCAGTTCTGTTTCATTTTATTTTTATTTTCAGAGAACAGGGCAGCAGGAAAAATTAGGAAACCAGAAAAGCCAAATTCTCAATGAGAGTTGTTATAATGAGTAACTTTTAAGTAATTTCCAAAGGCCACAGGTAATCTTCCCTTTCTGGTACCTGTCATCCCCTTTGCCTTTTCATCTTGGTGAAAAACAACTTTTACAAAAAAAAAACCTTAATGAGGACTGAGCAAGTGACTTAAAATTGTACACATCATCATCTCAGAACGTAAGTGTCAGATCCATTTAATTCAAGTATTTTTTAAATGATTTGTACACAAATCAAGTCAGACACTTGAGATTCAAAACAACTGTTTTGCTCTCCCCTCCCCCACCCTCCAGTCCCCTGAATATCCTATTCCTCACCCAGTGCAAAATGGGAGAGAGTGGAAACCAACCCCGCAGGGTTCCTCAGTGCAATGTGTAGTAGTAGCCACAACTCTAGGATGCGAGTCCTCCTATTCATTTCTTGTGAAATGCTACATTAATAATTTCTTGAACTGTCACTTATTACTAAAGTAGCATCATGGCTGCTTTGAACCCATTTGGGTTACCAAACTTGGTGGTTCTTTTTAATGCCTAAATGAGAAAGAAGGCTGGAGCCCCTAGAGAAACTCAGGACCAGCGCCGTGGTGGTCTGGGCTCTCCTGCCCTCCCTTCCTCCAAGACTGGCTTCTTGGGAACCACGCCCTAGTCTGGGGTAGAAGGCTCCTCACCCAACATGCAGGCGACGATACCGTACAATGTTTGTAGCAGCCTCGCCAGAGCTGTTACACAGCTATTTGCTGACGCCAAACCAAGCTTAAAATACCGTCAAACACAGCTGAGGCTCTGGCCACTGCGAGCTCGGGATGGCCCAGAGTTGGGGTGCAGTGGCTTTGAGGAGGACCACGTGGACCATTCCCAGCCCAGGTGCACAGGGCAGGTGAATGGTGATGAACATTCCAGGAATAGCATGCATTTTGCCATAGCTAGGAAATAAAAAGGAGGCAGTAAAGGCAGGGAGATCAGAAAGGGGCACAGGGGATTCGGACGAGAGTGCTGGATGGTGGGTTTTACAGCTGGTGGGTGGTTTTCATGAGTTCTATTCTTGGGCCAGTTCCAAACAGGAGCGCAGCAGGAACACGTGGACAAGACAGCCTACCCAAACCACACAGCCATCTGGAACTTGGGCATCCTGGTGAATCCTGGCAGCGGCGGGCACGCTTTAAAATGCCAGGAGTCGGTTCCATAGCACCCCACAGAGTTCTCTGGTATTGGAACCTTGGAGTCTCTGCACAGATTAAGCACAGAGAACTATCTTCTCTCTATACTTTTCAGCTGCCCAAAAAGTGTCCCTTGCTCTCTCTCCTTGGATTTGAGTATAATCACTTTACTGGATAATTATGAAAGCAAATAGAAGACAAAGGAAGGAATTTAGAACTTTTTTGTAGTTATCACATCTAATGATATTATGTGATAACAGATCTAAATGGTTTTTTTTTTACCTTACCAGCAGCTTCAATTCTTGTTATTGCTTTGAGTTTATGAAAGCTTGATTTTGAAGATTAAATACTTGTGGATAAGGAAGATTTTGAGTTTTTTATGTGTTTTTAAGGGTTTCAAGTTGGGAGCATAGCTTTGCCTATTCATGGAACTGGTCCTGTTCCATCTGCTTGTTATAGTGCCACCTGCTGTTGAAGGTTCTTTTGACAGACAGCCTTTGGTCACTGCCTGCCCCGAATAAAGGAGAGCATCTTGGATGTACAATTCAGTTAAAAAGGAAAGCTTCTGAGTAAAATAGAGTAAGATTTTTAGCTAACTGTGAAAATTAAAAATTCAAAAATTAATTTACAAATTTAATGTAAAAATTAAAATCCAATCTCTTCTCAATGGAAAAATACGTTGGGAATTAAAACTGCATTGTTATAAATTAAAATTTGTTATTGCTTATTAAACACCTACATATTAAAGATATTATTTGCATGTGTTTTGGATATGGCACTAAATATACGTATCAGTATTTATTAAGATTTGTATAAAAATTGGCATTTTAGGTTATGACTAAAATTTCAAGTATAGTAAATTTTGTGTATGGGGGGAATGCAAAAATTAAAGTGGATCATTCCTCTAAAATCAGCCTGTGGTGTTTGCTGAGGGCCAAGTTGATGGACCGCGCACTCAAGTAGGCAAACTGGACTAACCTAAACCTGCCAAAAATAAATCAAGTGTTTTTTCTTTAACAATCTCATTCTGATAGACTTCTCTTTCCAAAAATTGGCTACGAATGAAAAGACACATGTCCAAAGTTTTGTTTTAATACTTCTGATTCCATGAAAATGAAGAGCTCTCCAACAGTTTGTGAACCGGTTTGGACCATCTTAGGGGAAAGTGGATGGAGCTCACAGATCACACAAAATTGACCCAGTGCTTTGTCCGGAATTAACTGCAGACAACAGCACACTTCAGGGTTCACCCTTGTGCCTTATTCGCCAGGTACAGCATGGAGCCTGTTCGCAGGCGTGGGAAGTCATGGTCACAGCCTAACCTCGCTGCACCAAATGGACGTTCCTTCTAGTTCCCTCTCTGAAGGTGTCGCTTTTCTCTCTCCGCAGGGACCCTCTGAAAATCCAGCAACTGCAGAACCAGATCCGCCTGGAGCAGGAGGCCAACGCCCGGCACCCCGCGACTGGTGCCCCGCGCAGCGCGCCGCCCTCGCCACCCTTCCCGCCGCCACCCGCCTTCCCGGAGCTCGCGGCCTGCGTGTCGCCGGCGGCCCCAGAGCCCATGAGCGCGCTCGCCTCCCGAGCCGCCCCCACCATGCAGTCCTCCGGCTCCTTCAACTACGCGCGCCCCAAGCAGTTCATCGCCGCGCAGAACCTGGGCCCAGCGTCCAGCCACGGCACGCCGGCCTCCAGCCCCAGCTCCTCCAGCCTCCCATCGCCCATGTCGCCAACTCCGAAGCATTTTGGTCGCTCAGCTGCACCCCCCTTCATGCAGCCCTTTGGCTCGGAGGCCGAGGCCCCATGGGGTTCATCCTCGCCATCACCCCCACCACCGCCGCCCCCAGTC